CGCCAATCCCCTCCACAGAAAAAAAAACCCTTAGTAAAAGTATGTTCTACAAGTAAATTCAACAGCCTCTCATCTGTTCCAAGTTTTAATGAACTTAAACATGGCTCACTGCACAGATGCCTCAAAGTATTTCATCAAAAACAATCCCAGGGAAAAGTGGCCGACAAGCTCATCTATGAGAAGGGGGCACCAACAATTTGAAAATTAAGCATTCAATGAAAACAGCTTCTTCTACTGGGTTTTTGCATTTCAAGTCAATCAGTTTCCTTTATGCTTTGGCTAAGATAATGTAAGGTATTTTCCATGTCCAGAAGAAGTAAAATTCCATAAAGGAGGGGCAGAGACTATAAAAGTTTTCCTAAGTATACGGGTAGTGGGTTGGATACTGTACCATTGAGACACCTCTGGAGGCTGCATTAATATGAGGGCCAGATGTTATAATGCCTATCTTTGACCTACTACTTTAAATATTTATATAAGTCTCCTGTACTACAGTTGGTAGTGGCAAACTACTAACTTTTACCATTATTTGAATTTCTGGTGTTCGTGACTGAAGCCTACCTTAAATAAAAGTAATCCTCTCCTTTGTCTGCTACAACCTAGCACAGAACCCCAATCTTGCAATGCAATGCAAGGTGGATGCATGGTAGATACACAAGTGAATAGGAGGCGGTGGGCAGTAACTGACAGATCTGACATCCTGCGTTGATACAGAAGCCCAAAGCGTTTGACCTCTGCTCTATAAAAAGCAAAATCAAAAGGCAAAACCATTTTGGGGGGTTTATTTGGTGTGCAAATGAACAAGTTCAAATGGAGTGTTAGCTGCCTGGTAGCTGTAACTGCAGCAGCGCACAGGGAATGCTCTACTGATTCCCAGCCAGCTCAGACAGATACAAACAGAAGTGACACTTGTTCTGGAACAAGATTTTGGAACGGAGGGGGGTCGGATCCCTCACGTCCTTGCAGTGAAGTCACAGCGCTGATAGACAGAAAAAATAGAGCCTTTGCTAGAGGAAGCCAACTGGCTTTCAGCTGACCCTAAATGAACCTAAATGAAATAATTGCAGGGCTGCTTTCCAAATTCAAATCAGATTAGATGTGAAGTAAAGCAGGGCTGGAAAAAAAAAAATCTAAACATTTTTTCTGATTTCATTGTCAGACACAATATGCCCATCCAGTATTTGCATTATCAATGAGAAATGAACTTGGTACGTTGACCACATTTTACTGTCAACTGGTGGGAAGTGGAGGTACGGTGAAGCTATTCCAAAGTTAGCATTGTTTTACCACTTGTATCAGCAATTTCTGTGAAAATCCAGAGACGTTAACACTACACGTTCAGACAACTATGAGAGCTGTTGTTCAGAAAGATCCGCGTATTAATAGTATCCTGGTTAAGTGACCGATATTCTTCCTACCTCTCGGAAAAGTGATTGTTCCCCCTCTTTGCATCTTAATGAATGGGGTGTGCTGTGTATAATCCTACTAGGCAAGTAGGATTATACACAAATATACAACACAGACCTCTGGAGGGAATGGTGGACGTGCAACAAAAACGGAGGGGTTCTATATAAGCTGTAAAATCCCGGCCTGCATTTTGCATTCCCCCACTGTCCCTAAAGAAAGAGACTCTGTCGCAGCTGCATTTAAGTATTGACAGTTGACTCTTCAAAAGCCCTGACTCTTGATCTAATAAGGCTCCCAATGACTCCAATAGGAACAGGCATGGTCACCTGCTAGGTTAAAGCGCAGTGCTTTACTGGGAGAGAGAAAGAAAAACCCACTGTGAACTCATTCAGGGCCAGACAGGAGTGAAGTCACTCTCAGAAACCTGTACGGAGGTACTAAGAGCATAAGTGTGTTTTCATGAAGGCTCCTCAGGGCCTTTCCCCTCAACTGGAGCACTGCCTCCTGCCTGATTTTGTTCTTCTTCCAAACAAAGAAACATCCCTGCCCTCCTAACCCTCCATTAACTCCAACCAGTTCCAGAAGCCATCTCATGCTCCCTGCCCAGTGACCCAACCACCCTGCAGGGAGCAGCTTTGTGCTTCAAACGCGTCTCCTTGGCCCTCATGATGTGACCTGCCTCCTGCTAGCTGGTTCCTGGCCCAGAAAGATGACTCAGAAGCTGGCAGCAGAAATAAGCAGGTTACTTGAAGAGGGAAGTGCTGGGAGAGGTCCTGACCCAGCTCCACCTCCCAGAAGGAAGAAACTTTCCCTCCTGTGTCCTTACAGTGCCATTACCAGACCCCATAGCTCACCTGAGCCTGTTGTAACGCACATGTGAGCACTGCCTGTGCGGTAAAAACGGCCCATTACAATTCCATAATTGCCATGACCCCTTTCTCACCGTGTGCTGGTGGGTTTTTAAGCATTTCTGAAGCCGCTCTATGTCGTTCTCCAGGGCAGCCTTGGCTCCATTCTTGGCTTCAGCTGTCAGCGTGTAAACACTCAGACCCTGGTGGTATTTCACACAGCAGTCCCCCGAGTGCACGACATGAGACAAAGTGCTCCAAGAGTCAGGTTCGCCAGCATCTTCTCTAAAATAAAACATACTCGGGTTAATATATACACAAGGCTGAAATGCTGTGTCGCCGTGACACACAGACAGTTCCTCAGCATGGATAGTCATTGAATCGGTGACCCAAGAAAAACAAGAGAGTACAGGCTCCAGGGCCAGTGAGACGCACCCACACACATGCACACACACACTCCCCAATCTTGGCACAACACAATCAACTTGAGTTCAGAGCTAGAGTCAATGACAAACTCCACTTCACATGGTCCTTCCAAATCTTACACTTAATTCAGCAACAGACCTAGTTTTTCCAAGCGCTAAGAGTATCTCAGCAAGCAATGATGAAGGGCATAATCACTTTTTAAAGTGAACTTAATGTAGGGGAAGGAGGCCAAATTGGCAGCCACAGAATGAAAACATTTTCCTGATTCCTGGAACAAAGGCAACAGGAAAATGGACAAGGAGGCAACAATTTCTATGGCATATATAGCCTCCTCCAGGTATTGGACTGACAGTTTTATCTTTAAAAAAAATCCAGCATGGGAAAATGGTGTCTCATGTTAAATCTTCATCCGTGCAATGTTTAAAAAACTAGAGCTCAATTGTATTCCAGTATATATAAAACGAACATATTACGAGTCAAGGTGCTATCACATTAGTCACACTACTTCACGGCACGATCACACAGTCGGAAGGATGGAGAAACATCCAACTATGAACTTTCCCATCCCTAACTGTTATGCTCAGATATCACACAAACTGGCACAGGCTGTGAGCTGAAACAGAGTAGAAAAAGTGGAATAGGACTTCCATGATGGTTCAGCTATTTGTTAAATAAGAGCCTTTGGTCAAACACTGGACCCTAATTCTGCAAACATTTGTACAAGTGTTTAGCTATATTAACATGACTAGTCTCACCAGCTGCAATGAGACAACACTCATATTTAAGGGGGGGGGGCAAGGGGGGGGTATACAGTGAATTTTTCCATAGTTTTCTGTTCACTTTGTTCTCTCCCTCCCCCCCTCTTTAAAGGTTTCTTTCTGAATTGAAAATGAGTTCAAGGAACTACTCACACATCATCCTTTTCATTCAGAAAGAAGTGCTTTCCTTTATAGGACAGACTGGGGCTCCTCCTGTACACCACCCATGTGAGGACCTGGGGTACCCCCAGTGCCCCTCATATTGGTTATCCATACCATGAGCAGCTGGGCAATGGAGAAACCAGCCACTATATATCCAATACATCGCGCTGGGGTGCATGTAAGCAGCACTGGATGGAAAGGAGTGAGGAAATAAAAGGGCTCTTGGCTTTATTGCCTGGGAGTCAGATGAGCTTTGGAAAAGGTTCATTTTGACTGGGAAGAAAGGCATGTTCTTCATTTGAGTTAACAGAGATGAGGTATGATTCAAGGGAAGACAAAGCGGTTTTTAGTCCTCGTGCTTGTTTGGAGGCCAAGTTCACAGCCTAGGTTTTATCTTGACCTGACAACATGGGTAAAAACCACCAACTGCCTTGTCTTCATGAAGCTGGTATCTCATATTAGATAATTTAACTGAAGAAGATATCATTTCTTTCCCTGCTAAAGGAACGGCCTGAGCTGCACTCTTTCCTGAATTACTCCTGTAACCCCTGTAAAGAGATAAATGACTATCATAAGAAATCTGCTTGAAGAAGACAAGCTGAAAGCAGTTACACCACGGGGTACTGAAACAGCTAATCTGCGTGTTAAAACAAACACCATCTAGGGCTCTGAAGCAGAGCAGTAACAAAGCAGCAGATCTCTTCTCCAAATTGGCAGCAGGTATGGTGCTCTTTAGGGTGGAGCAACCCACAGCCAGTTTTACACACCAGAAAATATAATGCAAAGAACAACCTTATACTGGGCAGTGGCTAACTAACTACTAGCCCGAGTAGAGGTTGTAACCTCCGATTTCTGTGACTCATTTAAATTTTACCTATGAATCATGAAAATCAAGCTCAAAATAAATGAGCCTAAGTTGCCTCCCATTTACCATAAGGTAATTCTGTGGACTTCACTGGAATGACTCCTGATTTATGGAGAAGCAGTATCAGCATTTCTATAAAGAAACAGAAGGCAGAGTACAGCTCTAGTGACTAGGGTATAAACCAAATACCAAGTCACTGAAATCCACGTTAACTGAGCTATTAAAAGCATGACGTAGCTGAATAAATGGCTCTCCTCTACCAAGGAAACACAGACAGTTTTGTCTTGACTCTTTTCCTTTCCAGTTGTCATATATGAGAAATCACTGTATTTAGGGCAGCTTTCAGAACACAATCAAGCAGTCACCATGAAAAAGCATATTCACCAACTCATGAGAGTAATCACTGAGATTAAAGAAAATAGAGTGCAGCAGCTTTTGTCAGCTTCGAGTACACTTATAAAAGTATCTTCAAACAAAGAATCAGAGGAATCCATGAGTATAAAAGACACCAAATTACTTCAAAAGCCTCTGGATTCAGAGATGAATTACACACAAGCATGCAGGTCACCAGAATAAAATGACTACACTTATCTCTAATACAATTTTCCACCATCAGACACATGCCAGACCGATCAAATAATTACTTTAAAATACAAAAGTAAGCAACTTCTTCTCTATGCAAGTGTCAGGATGCGTGTCCAGACAAACCTTTCCAAAGGGCAGCTAAATCTTCCAAAAGGCCTACCAACTTCTCAGATCCATGCCATTGCACAGGACTTCAGGCTTAGCTGCCATTTCTAGTCACTTTGCCTATCCCTACAGTAAGCAAAGAGGCAATTGAGGGCCCTCATTTATAGTTCTTATTTCACAAATTTCCCCATTAAGGACACTGCTGCAACTGAGGTTAGTGAGACCGGTCTTAGAAGAATTTGCTCTGCAGTATCAGTAAGTAAGGGTGGCGGTTATAACCCTGGGTACATAAGGCGCACATTTGCACACACAAGCAGATACCTATGCCCACAGACAGTTGTTTCATGAGTACTCCGATTGTGTAAGCGAAGCCTCTTGCTCACCTGTTCATAATCCTTCATCCCCACTATGTCCCTCCAACATCTCACATGCAAACCCCTGGTTTTTCATCAGGATATGACAAGGCATTTCTAGAAGAAATTGTGCTCTTTATGTGAATTCATTTTAGACTGTCTGACCAAAAACCCAACTCATTTTCACAATTATCAATTGCTCTGTAACTGTGTGCAAGTGTGCCACCAAGTTGTTATGCCAGCAGATAAAAATATTTATGCATACATTTTTAGTTGGTCTCATAAAAGATACTGGATTTACTCAAAGAACCTCATCTGCCTATGTCCTTAGACCAACGCAGCTACAACCTATACCCCTTCAAACATACATGCATTTCAACTATTTAAATATTAGGTTGTTTTAATAGATGCATGTACAGACCTGGGTGCCAGAGCTCTAAAAGTCCTGTTTCCACACACCTGTAACTGTAAAACTGGAGCACTGAAGAGAAAACACCAGCGGCCAGGAAAATGTGTGTGTCTTTTCAGAACTTTAATTTTACTGAGTCAATCATTTCCTGGGCTTTCCCTTTTCCTCAGCCTCCTAGAAGAATGTTTGAAGACAGAAATGAACAGATATTTCCATCAAGGCAGATGTGGAAAATGCTTCTGTGAGCCAGCTGCAGGCAGCTCCTTCATTTCGAAAAGCAAGGCAATCAAAGCTCATCGTTTACATTCTTCTCTTCCATCACGTCTGCACCGTGTGTGTCCACACTACTGTTCCCGCTGGGGCAAGCTCTCTGGACTCGCTGCTTGCCTTGCTTGGACCGAAGTCCTGGTCAGATTAAAACATATTCTAAAACTGAGGAAGTTATTCTCCTTGGGGAGGAATACGTTTGCATGGAGAAGGAAGAAACTTTACAAGATTGTCTTGCAGCTATGGAAACGTGGCTCAGATTAGCATGCAAGCCCAGATGGGAACGAGAGGAGAACCGAACAATTACAAATCACTTCTGCCACCAAAAAACTGGGTTGCCTGACCATGACCTACACAGTCCAGGAAATTAAATAGACTGGCCACACCCCAGTTTTTGCTGGCGTATTTGAAACGTAAACCATCACAATATTTGCTTATCTCCAAGTCTTGTATGTGTGGACCATTTGTTCTGTCCCAGCAAAGGAAGAACTGGACACTACTTCAGCAACAACAGACTGAATGTCATACAACAGAATATATAGGATAGCTCTGTGCCAGTACTGTATCTAGCACCGGAAAGAGACAGAGGGAAGTCTCTAGCTATACGGCAAGTGCTAGAATTTCCTGTCGATACTGGCAAGATATTTTTATAAAAGGGGAAGAAGAGCGAGGAGAAAGTAGAATGTGTTCAAAGACACATTTGCAGTTGGACGCTAAGATCCTGAAGCCAAAGTTGAGTCACAGAAATCTGAAAGTCTAGCATGCAGACAAATTTTCTAATACAAAGCTAAATAAAAACCCATAGACAAATAGAAGAGAAAAAAGAACTTTGTGTTAGGAAGTACTAGCTTGCGCCTTACTTAAAAAGAAAAAAAAACAACTGTGAGGGACAGAGACCCTAACGTGCGATTTCCTGGGGAGTTCCCCTTCCAGACTCCAGAGCTGGGCTTTGATTTAAATAAAGCAAATATAGTGGAACTGCCAACTCGTATGAATGTATTTATTGCATGTCTCATGATAAATGATGATTTTTCTGTAAGCCTCTTTTGCTATATTATGTGATAAGGAAAAGCCCGTGTGTGTTTTTTGGTTTTTGCTTTTCTTTAGGTAAGGTTCCACCGCTTGTTGTGAAGGAAGTGAGATATGAACGCTTCGACCTCTAATATGAGAAGACAGAGAAAAACCACCAATTCATTTCAACTGCACGGTTTTAAAGCAAACGGTTCTCTCCCTCTCTTGAATTTATTTATTTATTGCTTGGCTTTGCTCTGGATGAAACTCCAAAGAAACTGTCCCGTATTAAAGGCTAAGATCAGTATCTCCTGAAACACGATGTTGAAGTTTAGTCAGTGTGG